ATAGACATAAAACAAAATTGACCTTAAATTTGTATTAATAAACCAAGATCCATACCAATGCAAAGTATTCATCTCTATATTATATCCCCCTTTAAATGTAAACAAACATTTATAAAAAATATTTGGGAATATGGGCATAGTTCTCTCCAAACTGCTTCCTTCTTTTTGTTGGGCAAAGTAATTTTTAGGGGTGTTTATGGTGACCTTTCAGGGGACTTGGTCCATCAAACCACATTAGTCTGGAAGGATTCCATAGGTTCTCATCCTCTGTGGAAACAAAAGAAGACCCTCTTTTCCATAAAATATATTCTTAGACTCAAGTTTTGAAGTTTTGAAGTTTTAAAGTCAAGAAACCTTTAAAAAATACATGTTGGTTTAGTTTAGTAGCCCATACAATGAAATGCCTCTCTGTACTTAGCTCCTTCACAGTCAAAAAAAATTCAAAGAAAACACAATAATATACATAATTCAAACTCTCTGTGTATTATCCAAAATCTCTGTGTATTCTCTTTACATGGCTTATTTTTCTTTAATCCTGCCCAAGACAGTTTCTTTATTAACCAATGGTATTCACAGCATACAGAGGGTAATCCCATATCATCCCATGAATACTTTAATGGGTAATTTCTAAGGGGGAATCATACGTTCCTCTCCCTCTGAAATACCAGAATCTCATCAGAGAGGATATGCTCGTCGGTGCCATTCTTCTTACCCTTTTTCCCTGCTCATCAAGGGTAGCTGAGAATATCTGTTCTCCTATCCCAGAGCATGACTATGAAAGCTGATGTTGAGCACTCTCAGCCCAAGGTGACCTTCTGTCATTGTCTTAACCGGCTATCATGACGAGCATGCGCTAAAACATGACATGCCAGTACTCAGTTCTTTGGAAATAGTGATGATTCCTACATATAGTTATTTGCCTTTGGGTCATCCAGGAAGCGTCCATAACACATTTCATTCTATACCCAGTGAATGAGTATGGTCCCCGTAGGTTTAGATGTTGGAAATCTTGGTCCCCAGTGGGTGGAACCGTTTGGGAAGGATTTGTGTGGCTTTGTTGAAGGTGGTCTGTCACTAGGGGCAGGTTTTGTGGTTTTAAAAACCCGTACAATTCTAAGTCAGTTCTGTGCCTCCAGACTTGCAGATAAGAATGTAAGCTCTTAGCTACCGCACGGCACCATGCTTACCTGCCTGTTGCCATACTCCCTGTCATGATGATCATGGACTCAGTCTCTGAAACAGTAAACCCAATAAACCGTCTCAATCCTGAAATCTCTTTCCAGCAACAGAAAAGAAACCAAGACACCAAGAATGAAAGAAAGTGAAGTTCAATGTTTTTGTCACAGCAGAGGTCATCAGCTCTCAGAGGTTCATGTGGAAACAGACAAACCTCTTAGAACTTCCGTTCAGGAGTCACACAGGGTTCTTTCTACTCACATTCTATTTGCCAACGTGCATCACAGGGCCATGTCAAGTGAATGGGGCACTGGAGTTCATTCGGCACACAACACCTCAGCGATGGCACAATGTGCAACAGGACCATAGGTACACAAAGGACAGAGTCATTAGTTCAATCTGCCAAAGTGCCAGAGAAAAGAAGGAAGTGTGACAGAAGCCATGCTGATCTAAAGACTATGAACAAGGTCAGAAAGGCAGGCTCTTCAGAGATACTTCAGTTAAAAATGAGCATTGTGCGGGATTCGAAGCTTTGGAGAATTTGTGGAATTTGGGTGTAGAGGAAGAGGTCCAATGTCTGCCTTTACCACTCTCTATCTCACTCTTTTTAAGGTAGAATCTCTCCCTGGACCTGGAACTCTGTGTGTGTGTGTGTGTGTGTGTGTGTGTGTGTGTGTGTATGTATGTATGTGTCCTAACTCTCCCTATACCCTCTGAGAGGCTGACAGATGGCAAGCCTCAGTGGCCTTCCTGTTTGCACTCACCTCTGTGCTGGCCAGAACTATGTCCAGCTTGTTACCTGTCTCCATACTTGCTCTTTAAGACTGACATCTCTCCAGCCCTGCCTTTGGAATCTTATGGTATGGTGCTGCTATAATTCAATAGGAGCAAGAATGAAATCAGACCGACAGCATCACTTAAGATTCATTACATTGGTCACACAGGCATTCTGATGATATGTAAAGCAACTCCTAGCAGAAATCCATCTGCCAAATCACTGAAGACAGAGAGGTTGGTTTCATTCACTCCCCATTCAGATGAAGTTTTTTGAGACAGGGTTTCTTTGTAGCTTTGAAGCCTGTCTTGGAACTAGCTCTTGTAGACCAGGCTGGCCTTGAACTCACAGAGATCCATCTGCCTCTGCCTCCTGAGTGCTAGGACTGAAGGCATGCACCACCACTGCCCAGATAAGTACTTATTGTTCTTGCAGAGGACCTGGGTTCAGTTCCCAGGACTTGCATGGTGGTTCACAAACCATCTTGGAACTAGAGTTCCAGGGATCCAATTTCTTCTTCAGCCCTCCATAGGCATGTAGTGCGCATAAATACATGGTGCTGGTTGTTTTTGTCAACTAGACATATCTGGGAAGAAGAAATGTCAACTGAGGAATTGCCTTTTCCAGATTGGCTTATAGGCAATTTTGTGGGCCATTTTCTTGATTAATGATTGGCATGGGAGGACCTAGCCTACTGGGTGATGTCATCCCTGGAAGGTAGTCCTGAGTAGTATAGGAAAGTGGTCTGAAGAAGCTTTGGGGTGTTGGGGTCCAGCCCCAACATAAAACATTTCTCATGCCAGAGTGGAGGCGTGGGAATGAAGGCACAATTCATACAACAGTATTGGGAGGGACTTTCAGTGATCATTCAAATCCTGAAATCCACACACATTTCTTTTTCAAACAGCTTTTATATCAAGGTAAACTGAGGGGGAAGGTAACACAAACTGCATTAGCATTGTTTCCTAGGTAGTGGGAGGGGAGGGGGATGGTCACAGGTCACTCTTGCCTACACCTATTTTGTTAGTAGGCTGAAAACACCTCTTCCCAGGTGGCCTCCTAATTTACAATAGAAGGAACAGAATGACATTAGCATATCCTGGCACCTGTTGAGGTGGTGCCATGTTTGCTTTGCTTCAAAAGAGCCAGGCAATCTCTTCCTGTGTGGAAGGTGTAAATTGCACCCTGTAAGTCCTCAGATCCTCTGACCACCAGACAATATGGAATATGGGCCTGCATAATTCGGCCCCCACATTGGGGAACCAACCAATAAGCAGCATTCCTTCCTGGTCTCTGCTTCAGTTCCTGCCTCAAGGTTCTTGTCCCCCACTTGCCTTCATGATGGACTACCACTGTTAAGCTGAAATATACCCTTTCCTCCCCAAGACGATTTTGGTCATGGTGTTTAATCACAGCAATAGAGAACAAACTAAGATATACATGCAAACACACACACACATAAATAAATCTTTTTGATAAAAGTTTAAAGGATTCAAAAAGGTCATTGAAGAGCCTCTTCTTACAGATACTTAAATAATATTGGAGCTCTCAAAGACTAGAACTTAGTATTGCTTTTTTTTTCTTACATCAGAACACACGTTCATTTTTGAAACAAGTTGAAGTGCCAACAATGACCCAGCACCCTTGTCTCTCCCTGACACCCTCCTTGTTTTTCTACTGGAAACTGCCCTTTCTCTCAGAAAAGTTAAAATGAGAATATCAATCAATTTAAGCTGTCACTCCTGCTTCTAAAAGATTAAATTTACACATCAAAAGGGCTGTCCATTAAGACAAGGAATTTTTAACCTCCGCTAGCAATATTATAATTTCTATCCAATAATTAAGCCTTCTCCCCTCTTGCCAGCAGTAACATTTCAAAGTTGTATCCTTGGTACTGTACTTTATGTGTTAAAAGCACAGCACATCTATGCCATGGAATTTGTGCTTATACACACATCTTGTGCATGCATACCGGTGCAGAAGCAATGCGTTTAAAAGATATAAAGAAAGCTTCCCCTGAGGCTGTGGAGACAGCTCACGGGCTGAGCACACTGCTCTTGGAAAGGATCAGAGTTTGGTTCCCAGCATCACCATCAGCGGGCTTCACCACAAACTGTTAACGTCAGCTCCAAGGGTATTCTATGTTTATCCCTTCAGGCATAAATATGTACCCATGCACGTTTAATTTAAAATAATAAAATAAATCTTTTTTTTAAAAGATTATTTCTTTGATCAGTTAGGCTCGAGTCCTCTCCTGGGAGAGGCCTCTCTGCCTTGGTGCCTGCCCCATCGTCGGCTTGCCCAGCCTAGTTTTAGCAAGAAACCCCCTCAGTCAGTTTAGCACCCTTGATATCTGATCACCCTGGCCTGCTTTCAACAAGAATCCTGTTCAGTGAGTTTAGCAAGAATCCCTTAACCTCTGATAATTGCTCTTGGTAGTTTTCCATCCCCTCACATCCACACCCCTTCCCCTCAGCCCCCAAGTAGAACTCAATGTCTCCTAAGGTTTTAATAAGTATCAACAGGGTGTTTGTTTTTTGAAAACAAGCTCCCAACATAAATCTAACCATAAAATCTTCTGGAATGATGAGAGTTTCGGAGTCTCTTGGAACACTGTTGCTATATTCTCCACAGAGCTGCAGGCAAATATCTCGAAAGAACTTCTACACAGCTGCTTCATCCAGGGGATTACATGCTTGGGAGTTAATAGTCAATAATGCAAAAATCAGCCTTCTAGACAGAATAGGAACGCGAAGTCGGGTCACCACTCCACCTCCTCGGTGGGCTAGGGTCACAGTGCATTATTCCTGGACGCCTGTGTCGAGCGGTCACCGGTGTCCCGCCGAGCAAACGCCAACCTCAGCAGCGACAACCGAGTCAACCACCGAGTAAGACTGCTCTGCTCCCGAATGCTCCAGCAGTGCTGGCAGCACCAACGTCGCCGGAAGCACCGCCGAGGTCCGCTGGCGTCATCACCTTCGCCCCGCCCACTAACACCCTCGGTCCCGCCCTCCCCTCCCCTCCCACCACGTGTCCTCGCACGGTCGCAAGGGGCCACGCTGGGGAGGCTGAAGCGGCAGAGCCGGTGGCGCGTTGAATGCTGGGCCGCAGCCCTTGTCGCCGTTGGCGGCGACACCGCCCGCTCGGCCGGGGTGAGTGCGCGCAGACCGCGGGGCTGGGGCGGCTCTTCCTCGGGGCTGGTGTCGGGGGG